GGCTGGGAAGAGGGCTCAGCCTCGGCGTGGCGGGGCCGGGGGAGGACGGGCCATGTCGGTGGAAGGGGGACGAGGAGAGAGCGGAGAAGGAGCCCGCCCGGGAAGTAGGAGCGGGGCAGACAGGCTGAGGAGGAGGAGCGAGGCCGAAGGAGCGAGAGGGGAAGCGCGAGGTGCGGAGGGGCTGGCGGTGGGGAAGCAGCGGTGCCCGGGATGCGAGGGGGGACGGTGGGTGCCCGTCGTGGGGAAGGGGACGCGCGAGCGGTGGCCATCAGCCACGTGCAGAGCCCGGCACGTCGTGGCTGGGCCCGCAGGGGTCACTCGGTGGCTGGGGGGGGTGCTGACCGTGGGGGCATCACATGGGCACTAAAGTTATAACGATACCAAATTTGTGACTTGCTTTTTTTATATATATATAAACTAAACTGTATTTGTAAGGCACGTGTTTCACTATTTTTTAAGAAAATAAGCCGAACCTTAATGAGACACTACTGGAAAGGAGTTTTCGGGAGCTACACAGCCCCGTGACCTGGCTGCCGGCTGCGGGCCGTTTGTGCATCCCGTGGCCATTCCCATGGGACGGGCACAAACTCTTGCTGCCCTCTGCATGGTGCCGGGGGCCTTTTTCCATGAGTTAAAAGAAACCCTTGTCTTTGCCTTCTGAGGGTGTCGAAATGACGTATTCAAGATGGGAAAGCAGCGTGTCTAGTGCTCCCCGCGTCCCCGCTTCGTGCCCCGGGTTCCCGCTGGGTTCGATGTTCCTCGGATGCAGCCCGGAGGGGTCGCGGTGATGGGGCCGCAGCGCCGTGGAGGGTGACGCTGCCATCGGAGGGGCTGTCAGGCCTAATTCCCGTCACCACCCGCGAGCCACAAGGCCTCATTGTGCTGGGCTGCTCAAGGCGATTTTCCCAGCCCGGCACTCGGCCCTTGGCACTGCGCGCGGCCGGTTCCCATCCCTCAGTCCCCCACTCTTATTTAACGAATTCCTGCTTTTCTCTCCGGCCCAACATCCCTGCGGGATCCCTTTGGCCGAAACGGCTGCGGAGTCGGGAACCCTCACGGTCCAGTGGGGAAGGGCCCCGCGTTTCACCCGGCAGAGGCAGCGGTTTGGGGAAGCGGGTCAGGCTGCGGATCGCGGCCGTCACCGAGCAGATGGGGGTGACCCACACGCTGCCCAGAAAATGGGAAAGGGCATCGATCCTATGAAGGGGGGGGAAGATTCAGGGTTCCCTGACTCCCCTCGAGCTCTGCACAAGAGCTGCTGGCCTGTTGCAGGTTTTTTTCTTTGCTGTATTCCTATGTTTCTGCTATTAAAGCACTTCTAAGGGCATTGCCCTAACCAGCCTGGATGACCAGGTACTTCATGCACCCTCTGACCATCATTTGTTTCTCCTGGTAAAGACATTCATTTTGCAAAGCAAGCTGCTGGTTTGGGGGTTTGATTAAAAAAAAGCCTAAAATTATCTGTTTCAGATAAGATCACGGCTGTTGGCTTGCAGCAGCGAGCCCGCTCACTGCACTTTATCCAGGGCACGTGTTTTTTTCCCTGAGAACGGCTCCATGCTCGTTTTACGCGCCGCTGACACGGGGCCAATATTTATTTTGGGTCGGCGCGAGGGAGAGCGGGGAGAGCCGGCGAGCGGGCGCTCTGCGGCGCCGGGGCCGAGGCGATGGCGCGCGGGGGCCGCGGTGCCTCCGGAGCGTCCCGGAGAGCTGGCGCGAACGCGCGGGAGGCCGGCGCTGGGAGCCTCGGGGGCGGAAAAAGAGCAAGCCAAGCAGAAAGAAGGGAAAGAATGGGGAAAAGCGGGGAGGGGGCCAAAATGACAAGGGAAAGCCAATAAATGAGGCGCACACAAAGGGAATTACACCGCCCGCACAACCTCCCTGCTAAACTGCAGCTAAATGATGGTTTCGCTGACCCCACCTCAATCCCGTGCATTCCTCTTGGCTAAGTTATTGCATTTAATGCACAGAACATCCGGTGGGTTTGGGGCCAGGCGGAGAGTAAAATGTTTTTCTTCGAATATGTTTATTTGGCCAAATCAAATCATTGCGGCGTGGCGGAAAGGGCTGTTACTCTGCTCTTTCTCCGACGCGGATTTTTTCGTGTTGTTTTCGGTGCCCTCTGCCCTTTGTCAGATTTGGTCTCCCGCCCCCGCTTCCCGCGGTCCGCTTGCCTGCTCCGGCGGCTGGGACACGGCCAAGGCAGTGGCGATGCCGAACGCCTTCACGCGGGAGCCAGCGCACGGGGGGGAGCGAGACGCGGGGACGGAGCCCACGGGTGCAGCATCCACAGGGAGCAGAGCGGAGAAGGGGCTGGTTTGGGATAAATGAGCCCAGTGCCCTTTGCCATGGAGCCCTTTTCTTGTGGATGAAGCCGCACGGCCTGGCACAGCCAAGCATTGGCCTGGCTGTGCCGAGCACCCCAAAACCGGCTCCCTTGAGGGAGAGGAGCCCATGGAGGCATCCCAGGGCCGTGCCTCAGTTTCCCTTGCTGAGCGCGAGGCGGGAGCCAGCTCATGTTCCCCGCTCGGCCAGCGGCCAGGACGGATGCAGCGGGC